TTAACTGAGGTAGCACTGAAAGAAGTGCGCGTGGTATAGTCACTAAAGAAGACAATTTACTAGAGACAACTGCTGTTACTGTTTCTATGACTGTTGACCTGACATAAAGGCCTGGAACCCTTTGCTTCCTCTCACTGAAAAAAATAGAAAGCAAACTTAAGGCAGAGTAACTTTTTAAAAAAAAACCTTAACAGGTAGGTGAAGAGGGAAGGTAAGTATAATATAGATTCTTCGAGAGCATCAGAGCAGAAATATGACTGGCTACACATGATCGCCAAAGTCCCTGTTTTCAAGACACTTCATTTCGGTGCTCACTACTTCAGTTCGAGATCTCCGAGGCGGGGTGTGTTTTTCAATCTATGTTCTTCTCTTTTCATTTTTCATAGTATACTTCTCCCCGCGTGCTTGTTTTCCTCCGCTTCCTCCTCTTCTTCTTTTTTCCCTCCACTTCTTCTTTTTATTTCACTTCTTTGTCTATGCCCGCCTCTCCCACTTAGGGGTATGCGAGCACTTGAGTTCACTCGAGTTCTCGAGCATTTAGCCGTTGCGAGTACTCGCTGAAGAAGTTTCTAAATTCTCGATTATTTACTTGAGTCTGAAACCACCGACTTAAGCAGTTCACAATTTTCCACGCAGTGAGGTATTTTAGTAGACATTTTTTTGTTTGTTTGTTTGTTTGTTTGTTTGTTTGTTTGTTTGTTTGTTTGTTGCTGCTTTGCAAAGGTATTATTTGTTTTTTTTTCCTTCCTTTTATTTGGGCACACACATGCGCCCGCGCACATACACACACACACACACACACACACACACACACACACACACACACACACACACACACTCACACACACACACACACACACACACACACACACACACACATACACACTCATAAATGCATGCTTCCACGTACACTTTATAACACATACACATACACACACACACACACACACACACACACACACACACACACACACACAGACTCACTCACACACACACAAGCTAGCAAATACATATACACACAATCACAAACAAAAAACCCCAAACCATTAGAATCTTCACCCGCACTGCACGTTTGTCAATAATATCAGTGCCTAACACGCGCGATCAGTCAAAGTACTCAATATCTTGGATCTCATGAGCTGTTTACCCGGTGGCAGTGAGGAAAGAAAGATAATATCTTATTGTTTGATACCAGTGCCAAAAAAAAGACGTTTATCATGACAAACTATGATGGTGATGACATTATCGTGTTATAATTTATATGTAGCTTGTAATTATTATTATCATCACTTACCTCTTTGGTTCGGACGAAGAATGTTATCACATTAGCATTATAATAAAGATTACTGCAAAGTCTATAATCAGCCTTCATTCACATACATACCCGACAGCCTATATGTTTTTAGTATTCATAAAAAAACTTGTTTATTAAACCAATTAATTTCATGGGCATTTTGTTTTTTTTCACCAATTTTTGCATTTCCCTAGGTTTTAGTGCCTTATTCCACAACGGCACGTTACAGGTGACTGACAATTAGTCTTCTCGTCCCCACCTCACCCCAGACCGCTGCCCCCACCCCACCCCGCCCCACGTCAACTTGCCCCATTCATCACGCACCACAGACATCAGGAAAGGAACATTCGCCCTTGCTACACACATGAATTCCCCGATCAATCGAATCATTGATCACAAAGCCGCTAAAATTTATCCCTGGTCCGCAGTGGCTTCGACTCGAGTGTTTTAGATTGGTGTTAGTGTGTGTAACGGCTAAGCCCAGCAAGCGAAGTGCGAGGTGGTTTGGGGGAGGAAAAGGATTGGGGGTGGGAGCTATATGTTTATTAATAAACATTCTTTGTGGTAATTCTGCCCGTCAGTCAGTCCTGGGTGTCTCCTTTTCACGTTTCGTTCTGTCTTTAGTTTCAGTAGGAGTTTTACGGAACTTGCAACACAAGGGCATATATAGATCTAAGTGCCGAAGATGAGGTGTTATAAGAGAGTAACAAAAAAGAAAGAGATAAGGACGACAGACGCTTGATAGGAAAATTGGAGCAAATCACAACAGATCACCTGCAAACCACCAACAACAGTTCTGTCTAAGCGTTGTAAACGTTTCTCACCTCGAGATTATTAAAAGTGTACTTCTGTCTTGAACCTTTGCAATGTGTTGGTATAATACATGTACTTTTACTCTGATATCCACCTGTAAATCATGCCTTTCTACAAAAAAGTGACAGGTGACTGTGATGTAGCAGTTAAGTGCTTCGCGCAGGTGACACGAAGTTAATACATGTACCAGAGTGGGGAGATTTTTTTTTTAATCGAGTACCTCAGATAGGGAAAGGAGCAAGAACTTTTGGAAGGCTGACAAAACGACGAGCATGGGAAAACAAAAAATAAACCATCAAAACAACGATCAAGATATACGAAGCATGTGTCCTCAACACACTCCTTTATGGATCTGAAACATGGGCATTGTACAGCAGGCAAGAAAAGCGCCTCAACATTTTCCACCTCAGATGCTGCCGCAAGTTCTTAGGCATTTCGTGGCGTGACAAGGTTACACGTGTTGAAGTGTTGGCACGTGCAAATATTTTAAAACCTCCAGAGCATGACAACTATCCTGTGTATAAAAAGATTGAGATGGCTGGGCCATGTCAAGAGAATGGACTACAATCGGATTCCGAAGCAACTTCTCTATGGAGAACTTGTCCAGGGAAATAGACCAAGAGGAAGACCAAAATTGACGCACAAAGACACCTGCAAAAACAGCTTATCTCTAAGCTTGGAGTAGATGTTAGAATCTGGGAAGAATTAGCCATGAAAGAAGCTGCAATGAAGACAACCTTGAGACCATCTAAAGCTAAATTGATCGTCTGCATAGTTGAAAAGAGCCATACATCTCAGTCTTTCTATTGGGATATCACATCCCTCCTAGCCCGGGTTGGCCATGACAGGTCCGCCTGCTAAATATTAAATGATCTAAATTGTGTCGATGGGGACGTGAAAAGGACCTACGTTAAGTTAAAAGAAGAAAAAAAAGCAACTTTAAAGTTTCATCTAAATCGTGTAAACTCTGTAATAACATTTTCATTTTCTATCCATTTAACAAACCCTGCTATGATCAAATGCTGCTCAGCATATTAATTTTACATTTTGTTCAGTGGAGACAAAGTTTTCATGTTGCCCCTTCCCGGCTCGCAGTTCTAACATTTTATCTAAGACATTGTTTTGGAAAAGTGCAGACATGAATTCTGATTTTCAATCAATATTTCACTTTACTTTCTGCCACTTCAACACTCGCTGGGTACCTTCCACATTCACCAAGACATTTTAGAGCTGGGGAAAAGACAGACTGAAAAACAACAGAGGGAAAGTAAAGAAGTAGGACCTACCAGTAGCGCCCACCAACCATCTTTGAATGTTTTTCAGTTTTGGTAAAAGTTTTACTGTGCTCCCAATTGCATACGAAAATGTTTTGCTTTAAGGATTCATGACAAAAATAGGTAGGCTAATGGACATGAGTAACAAAGATATAGAGGGGGGAGGAAAGGGAAAGGGAGAGAGAGAGCGAGAGAGAGAGAGAGAGAGAGAGAGAGAGAGAGAGAGAGAGAGAA